AAAAAAAAAAAAAAAAAAAACGAGGCTTGCAAGCATTTGTCGTCTCTGTGTACCAGGCACTGTTGTAAGCGCCTGGTGTGTGAGAGCCCTTGTAATGCTGATAACAATCCAGGGTGGTGGCCTGAAGAAACAGGTGGAGCAAGGCTAACTTCCTTGTCCTGGCTCCCGAAACAAGGAAACCAGATGTGGTCTTGACATCAGCTCTCATGACGCCATGCTGCCATGGCACTTGCTCTTCCACTTCTGCAGAAGAGCAGAAATGTTCCCCATGTTACATACTCTTCTTTTTAAATGCTACTATTTTTTGAGGTAATGTTGTTTGCAGAACCATTCTTTCAGATGCCTTCCAGGGTCCCGTGGAATTCCCCATCTATTGCACTGGGGTGTGGTGTTGGATATTTGTTCTTTAGCCCATTGCATCCTTCATTGCTTCCCTTTCCTTTCCCATTTCTTCCCTAGGATTACCAGTCAGTTGTGGACACTTTCGGCTTTGACCCTTACCAGCACCATCCAAGTCTTTTCTTTTTGCTCCTGAGGGCTCCCCCTTCTCATTTTCTGGGAAAGGAGGGAGGAAAGCACTTAATTTTTTAAATTCTATTTATTTATTTATTTTCTTGTCAATGCTTGCTTTCTCCCCTCAGGGGCAGTCCCCATAGAGTTTCTACCACCAGTTCACCCGTGCACCGTCACCATAGTGCCTATGCTCTTCCTGCCCTCATTTTTTTTTTTTTTTTCTTCCTGCCCTCATTTTGATTCTTTCCCTCCCCCTCCTCTACAGAATGGCTCTGATTTATAGTTGGGTGGCTTGTTTTGTTATTTTTTCCTTTTCCCCTAGCATTTACTTAGTTGCTGCTAGTGCTGCTGAGACACTGAGTGATGAGAGATGACTCCGATCAGGACAGCAGGGTCAGGGCAAAATCCAAAGACCCATTTAGCTGAGAGTATGAGGGGAACTGAGGATTCTTGTCAGAGGTTTAGGAAGGAGGGGGCAGATCCTCCAGCTACCCCAATTCTCTGCTCCCTTGGATACCACATTTTGGGCCTCCACCTTCAACCCTGAAGCATTCTGCCTGGGATCAGCATTGCCCCTGTGTGGCCGGATGCTAAGGACCTCTTCAGCTTCCTTCCTCCCTGCCCCGTGCTGTCCACATCAGCCCACTCTGGCCTTGCTTTCTGTTTCTGAGAAAGTCCCTTTTCCTCACTTGTAGCTCTCTTGCTTTTTCTCCCTACATTTCTCCTGGCGCCTGTGTGACCTGCAGAATCATTCCACAGGTCCTCCTTTCTCATGACTTACAAAAGACTCACAATTACTGCACTTTGAAAGAAACCAAGCCCCACACCTCTCCCTCCCCCTGCTGTTCCTTTCTCTCACTCTGACAGCAAACACAGTGAACTTGGCTTTCCTGCAGAGCTGAGGTAGAATATTAGTTTTCCTCTAACCCTCTCTGTGATCTTGGGCAAGTGGCCTCAGCTGGTATGGGTTGGTTCCCCCATCTGTAAAATGGGTCTACTAACAGATGTGGAGATCAGGGCAGGCAGTAAGTTCTGCATAAGACTGGTAGGTGTCTTGTCAGTTTCCTAAGAGAGGAGTTGAGCAACTCCCCTCATACCACACTGTGTACAGTCTCTCCTCCTTCCAGCTAAGGTTGCTTTTCAAGACTGTACTCTTGAGTTTGCTTTATTTCTGAGTAATAGTTATGGCTCATGACCCAGTCCTGTAGGACAGGATCCACGTTCCTGGTTGTACGTTGGCTCCTCTGGCATTGCCTTCATTCTGACCCCCTTTCCTGCAGGCTACATTGGTGTGGTGAACCGCAGCCAGAAGGACATTGAAGGCAAGAAGGACATCCGTGCAGCGCTGGCAGCTGAGAGGAAGTTCTTCCTCTCCCATCCAGCCTACCGGCACATAGCCGATCGCATGGGTACGCCACTCCTGCAGAAGACCCTGAATCAGGTATTTGTGGATTTTGAACAGTTGGCTCAGGCCGTGTACTGCACAACCACTGCCAAGTCACATTGTGCTGGTTTTAGTCTAGAGCAGCATTTATTTTAGCAAAATGGATTCAATCCACATTTGATTCAAGGCCTGGTGAAGAGTGGGTGTTTAGTAAAGCATACTGCCAATACTACTATTGCCATCACTGTATTACTGCTCTCTTAATTGCCATTGTAATTACTTAGTAGTATACCAAGAAGTTTGCATCTGTCTCCTGACATTGGTGACTTGGGTTGCAAAGGCTTGGATCATGGCAGTGGTAGCCAACAGCAGCAGACAGTAGCTAAGCAGGAGGGCTCTGGCAACCTCTGGCTGGGTGGCCTCAGGATAGGGGCCCAGCCCCTCCTAATCTCTTTCCCCTTATCATTGGAATCGAACTGTCCTTAGCCTCAGGGCTGCTAAGTGCCTAGCAGATACCCAGTGGGGAATGTCACACTTACCAAATACTAGATAATATATTCTTTGCATTCATACGCAAAACTAGTGTAGACCTGAATCTCTGAACATGGATCAGAGACACTGTGTCTCCCTTGGTGGTCCCAGCTGGCTCTCCATGGAGGCACAGTAGGCTCTGTCATCTTGGTTTGTGTAACGACACTCTGTGGTGTTTGCACAACTGTGAAATTGCCTAATAGCACATGTCTCAGACCACATCTCATCTTTAAGCGATAGGTGACTGGATTAGAAAGTACAATGAATTGCCCTCTTCTGCCCTCCCTCACACCCACAGGTCCTACTTCCTGAGTTTCTTTTTGCCCCTAAAAGCGAAAAGAAATTTCACAAATCACATTTCTCCCTTTCCTTCAACAAATGATGATAAAGGATGTGTCTTTTTTGTTTTTTTCCTCTCAATACTATCTCTGGAGTCTCAGTCCATGTGCAAAAGAGCCCTTCCTCACTCTCTCTCATGGCTGCATAATAGTCCTGAACATAGGGACCCTGGCCTGTTTAACCAGTCTCTTAATGGAAGACTCTTGGGATGGTTTTTCTTCTTTTTAGTCAATAACATTACTCTGCATATGTGCCAGTTTCTTAGGGAGTAAAATTCCTGATGTAGGATTATGTGGCCACCAGGAGCAGGCAGTGCTCCTGGTTTGTCCAATCCAGGTTTGTAAGATGCCCTTCCCCCCACCCCCGAAATTTCATGACGATAATGTGACTAAGAGAGCCAGGCCCTGTCCTGAGGGAAGGCATATTTCTGAAGGGGCACAGGAGTAGAACAAGTTGCCTGATAATATACATGATCAAGAGGTAGTGATAGGACTGGGAAGAAGCCCCTGAGAAGGAAGCCAGAGAAGGCAGCTCACGAGAGCAAAGAGGGAAGTGAGTGTCTGGTGGGAGGGACCCTGCAGGACCGGAAGTGGGGTCTGCCTGGGCAGAAGAGCAGAGGGGAAGAAAGGAAACAAAACTCCCCACAAATGGGAGGTTGCCTTCTCTGATAGCTCCTCTTGGGCAACTGGCTGCGCATTTGGGTGATTTATAAAGTGGCAGAGTCATCCCCTATTTCTCCCTTTTTCTTATGAGCTAAGTGGGACTGGTGGGATGTCTGGGACAGTGTAAGAGACAGCCATGGTCAGCAGCATGTGTAACATAGACCTCCCCCCAACTCCCTTGGAGGTGGGGACTGTGGGGCAAGATATCTGTGAGCAGAGCCCTGTCACAAAGAATTTCAGGGGACAGAAACTTAAAGTGTGAGGCCCCTTCATACTTTTGTTCTAGCTTGGTGGATACTTTGTAATTTGCTTTCTACTTTAGAACAGATGGCAACAAAAATGCCACTTTTTCATTTGGGTTTTAGCTGATTATATGGCTTTTACTTGGCTTCTCCTGTGTCTTTCTCTTTTCTAATAGTTAAAAAATGCCATCTAGCCCCAAGCTAGTGAATGTCCCATTTCCTCCCATCCCGTAACTGGCTGCTGCCCCTTCCCGGGTTTCCCTCTAGAGACATTCTCAGGCCTTGAGAGACTGGAGTATCCATACTGCCCGACCTCTTACTTCCTCCTGCCCTCCCACCTTTCTTTCCTTCCATTTTCTCTTTTTCCTAGCCTGAGCTGTAATATTTCACTCATTGTTCAGCTCATCCCTGAACCTTTTCTGCAGTTCTGCCTCCTTGTAAATTTGCAAACTAACAAATCCACATAGTTCCAAAGTAGAATGAGAGAAGAAAAAGGGGCCACAGTAAGAGGACTCTTGCCTGCCTGCTCCTTTTTCCCTTTTCGACACTATTTCTTGTAAGTCTTCTTTGTTGCTGTCCTGCAGGTAAAAATGTATCCTTCCTTTCCCCCTCCCTTTTACAGAGGGAGCAAAATGGGAGTGTTTTCTCTGCTCTCTCCCCAGTGCTGACCTCTGACCTGTGTCCTCTCCTATAGCAACTGACCAACCACATCCGGGAGTCGCTGCCAGCCCTGCGCTGCAAGCTGCAGAGCCAGCTACTGTCTCTAGAGAAGGAAGTGGAGGAATACAAGAACTTCCGACCCGATGACCCCACGCGCAAAACCAAAGCCCTGCTTCAGTATGTGTCACCCCTGTTGTCACCCCCTCCGTCCCCCCTCTACTGCCGCCCCCGCCTGGCACACGAGAGCCTTCACAGCCACAGGGTCCCCCATCCTTATCCACTGACCTGTTCATTCTACAGACAGTTGTCTAGAACTCTGTGTGCTAATTAAGCCCTTTCCTGAGCCCTGAGGTCGCTGCAGTGAACAGATACCAGTCCCTGTTCATTGTGCTCAGCAAGGGGAGACAGATGACACAGGAAATAATAAGATGATGTACAGTGTGTTAGATAGTGAAGTCTGAAAGTGGGGAACTGAGGAGTGGTTGTGGGAGTGCCATTTAAAAGAAGTGCAGGGAGCCTCCCTGAGATGTGAGAGTCAAGCAAATGAGGAAGGGGGCCATTCAGATCTGGAATATGGGGCTCAACCAGTGTAGAGGTCCCAAGGAAACCTTGCACCAAGCAAGCGGGGAAAGTGCACATGACTGGAGCCCCACGAATGAGTTGGAAGGAGGTGAAGGCAGTCATGAGGGAACAGGGCAGAGCATTTAGGATCTGTGTTTTCCCAGAAGACCTCGGTTTTACTGAGTTGGAGTTCTGGCTAGAGGAGGGATGTGGCTTCTCTCTGGGGCTCACAGCGCCCTCTGGCTGCTCCGGGAAGGATAGACTTGGAGGGCAGAGGCAGGAGCCCAACTTCTGCTCAATGCTCCTCGCCTGCTTGCTGTCACAGCCCATACCCCTGAGGGACTTGGTACAACCACTCTACTGAAAGGCGGGGGAGCCTGCGTGCCACACAGCCCAGGTTCTTGCTCAGGGCCCTCTGGCCTCTGTACTCAGTTTCTGAACCTCAGTGGCACTCGAAGGGCTTGTTTAGAGGGGGAAGTGGGAACTCCCTTCAGCTCTGATAGCAGATAACACCAAGCGTGATATCCCTGCCACTGGTATGTCAGATACTGCTCCCTCCGACCATCACAGCATGACCCCAGGCCCAACATGATGGGTAGAGAAGGTGGGAGAATGCCTTTGTGCTCAGATAACCTCAAGTGCATTCCAAAAAACTATCTACAGAGTAAACATTGGCCCTTTGCAGTGTGTAGCCTGGAGTGAACCTTGGCACACTGGGCAGCCTCAGGCAGGTGACCTCTCTTAGCATTGCTTCCTTCACCCCGAAAATGAGGATAGCAGTAGTAGCTCTCTTGTAACATGGCCAGGAAAAACTTAAAAACCATTTTTCACCAGTGCCCTGCAGAGCCTGGTGGAGGTGTGCTGCTGTCATCTGCAGGCTCCCCCTGATGGCTCATTTAGCACCTTAGCTATAGGCCCAGGTCACCAAAGACTTCAGGCCACAGAGAAAAACAGAGGCAGCCCCTCTTGAACCTTCTCAACTAGTGGTCACCTCTTTGAAGGACTTGTTCCAAGACTTCCTCCTGAGCCTTGACTATAAAAATGATCCCCTCACATGGCACAAAGGGGTTACAGTGAAAATGGGACCGCCCTCTTCTGTATCCCCTCCCCAGCTCATGTTCCTCCCCCTTTTTTTTAGATTTTATTTTATTTTAAAGATTATTTATTTATGCATACAAGAACTAAAGTACAGGTCAATGGTGTGGGGGAGGGATGTGAGGATTCACCACTGATACAGTGGGGAGCAAAACAGGTAGATCCACTGAAATACACTGTTGAGGGAAGCAGCAGGCTGGTCAAGAGAGGTCTGCCACATCATGTGTGTCACCTCCCTGTCCAGGGCTCGAACTCGTGCTGCAGTGGCTGTGGAAAGTTTTACAGTGCTGTGTTTTAACCTGTTGCACCACCAGAGAGGACCTGAGATTTTATTTATTTTTGTGTAGAACTGGGTTGTAGGCCAGCACTGTGGAGGGGGGCAGTCAGAGAATTCATCAGCGATAGAGTGGGAGACCACAACAGCGGGTCTTATGAAATACTCTTCTGAGGGGGATAGCAGGCAAGACAGGAGAGGTCTGCTATGCCATGTGGGTCAGCTCCCTTACTGGAGATTGAGTTCAGTCTGTCACAGTGGTAGTGACTTAAGTAGACTTAACCCCTAGACCACCAGGATGGCCTGCAGGTTTTTCCCTTACAAGAGCATGACAACACTGGCATCAGTCTCTCCCTCTAATTCTGCTCTTTCTTTTTCTCTTCTTATTAAAGCATCACCAGTAGCTTCCATTTTCTATGGTACCTGGCACATGGGTTAATACACATAACTGGATACACATAGCGGACTTTTGAGAACTTTTTTGTTTTTACTAGATGCTTCGTAGATTCATAGTTGATCATGCATGCAAGGATTCCTGTCAGGCAATCCTAAAGGAGGAATCACTGGATTGTGGAGAATGTGCTCTGAAATTAGACTCCATCTCACCATCTTGAGCTCCAGAGAGATGTTGTCACTTTCTGTGCCCTGTGGCCCACCTTAATTGGTTTCTGGACTCACTCCCTCAGGTTGTAATTAGGCCCTTATGGTATGTGGGTCATAGGAACCAGTGATAGAAAAGCTAACTGATGTTACTTTTTCTTTTAAGCATTTTAAAAAAAGATTTATTTATACATACAGAGCTGGGGTACAGGCCAGAGGTGCAAGGGTGGTGAGAGGATTCACCAGAGACAGAGTGGGGAGCAGAATAGGCAGATCTCTGAAGTATGTTACTGAGGGGAGCAGCACGTGAGACAGGAGAGGTCTGCTGCGCTGTTACTTTTATCATCATCATTATCACATCACATTATCTGGTTCTGGCTTTTCTATCTAGCACAGCTTGGTCATTGCTCCATGCCTACCCTGTCTTCTCCCTCATCTGCCCCAGCCTGTCTATGGCACGCAAGTCATTTAAAGGCCCCCGGCATATTATCTCCCCAGGTGGAATGAGCTCAGTATTTTTCAGAACAATTCTCTTCCCTCAGATTTTGTGCTTTGCAACTGGGTCTTTCCCCATCTAGAACAAGGAACAGGAATGTGTCTTTCGAAGTCCACTTGAGGCCATAACTCACCATAACTCACGACCACGGCTCCTAATGACCGCCAGTCATCTGGGGCCACTTGCTGGGCCCTTCAGCCTCCCGTACCCATCTGTTGCTAAGTGCATTTGCTATGGCTGGTGTTGTGGCTAAGTACCACAAACTGGTACTTTTAATAATATAATAGATTGTTTTTGCATCATTTTGTGCATTTTTTCATCTCAGTTGTAATCCCCTTGGGCTGCCCATCACCAAATCACCCATGTGCCATCACCATAGTCCAGTGCATTTCCTTCCCCCCACTGTTTATGATCACATTCCCCACTCCACCCCCATAAAATGTCTCCAAACTGGGTATCTTAAAACAACAAAAATTTGTCTCATAGTTCTGGTCACTAAAAGTCCAAGATCTGGTCACTAAAAGTCCAAGATCAAGGTGTTGCCAGGATTGGTTCCCTCTGAGGGTTTCTAGTGTCTTGATGGCAGTAAGTATTAATGTGGCAGGCCCAGCAGGGTTTGGTCACTATTGTAGCCGCTCTTTTGAGGAAACTCCACATACCACTTGAATAGATCAAGAATTTGGTGAGTGGAAATGACTAAGGCAGACAGTGCAAGGGATTGGGGGGAGCAAATAGAAATGCCTCAGAAAACCAAAATGCTGTAATAGCTGTCCCCGTTCTCTACTGCTCACATTGTCATGCTACTCATAAGCTAATAAGCCAGCATGCAGGTACTTTTTAAGAACTGGGCTGGGTGCTGAGATGGCCACATGTGTTATTACCATATTTCATCGATTAGATGAGCCCTTAAAAAATTAACTTCAGAAATCAAAAATTTTAGGTGAATTGCCATTTAATTAGAAGCCGCCTTTTTCTTCTCTGGGTATACAAGCTAACCTGTAATTAGTGATTTCTTGCACTTAATGATCTCTAGAAACTCCTTGAATTTGCACAAACACTCTGCTGTAGATGCTATTGCAGTCAACACATGTTGCAGATGAGAAAACTGAGGCCAGGAGGGGCAACACTTCAGTGTAAGACCTCACTGCCCATCCATGGTAATGTCCCAGCCTGAACAGATGGGGAGGTGGCTGAAACCACCTGAATTGTGTGGAGAGACTGCCTCTTCTCCCCAGCCAACCTTTGTGGCAGATGTAGCAGTGCTGTGATCCCTGCATCTCACTCTTGTCATATACAAAGGGAAGTAATAACTACCCCACTCCCCCAGTTCAATCAGTGAATAACCATAGCAGGCTGGCTTCATGGTGGCACCTGCTGTGTATTGTTGATTTGTTTTGACCTAGGCATACATTTGCTGCTAAAAAAATATGGAAAGTAAACCATGGCTTGACTGGGGACTTTGGTTTTGAAATTCAGGTTTTCTTTTTCCTGGTAGGATGGTCCAGCAATTTGGGGTGGACTTTGAGAAGAGGATCGAGGGCTCTGGAGACCAGGTGGATACGCTGGAGCTTTCTGGGGGCGCCCGGATCAATCGAATCTTCCACGAGCGGTTTCCCTTTGAACTGGTGAAGGTAGTGCAGCAGGGCTGGGCCCTGATGTCTCTGGTCAGAGTTTTCCCCTCTGGTACCCTGATGGGCAGCTTAGAGGTTTCCAACAGAACTGCGTAGAAATTCCATTTTTTTCCCCTGAGAAAAACAACACACCTTTTGCAATATACATGGGCAAATATTCCCAGCTGTTGCTGAAGGGGAAAAGCAGGTTAGGAGTGCAGAGCAGTGTTACATAACAGAGAAGTGATACTTTTTACTGTCAGAAATGGTATAGGAGTCAAGGTGTGCCTTTGCACAGAATCTTGCAAGGGTGTTTGCACAAATGTCAGTGCTGGAATTTGGGGGCTTTTAAGTTTACTCTCTTGAAGTTTGACAGCTTTCACTGTAGGTATGTATCATTTATATATAAAAACTAGCTAAGTTCTTTTCTATAAAAGAACAGAAACTAAAAGGAAAAACACCCAGAATTCATACATCCAGAGGCACCTCTGGTTAATACCTGGATGTGTCCTTTACTTCTGTGCAGATGGTTACACCTCTTATATACACAAACAGCACATGGGTTCATCTTTACTTGTGCACATTTATGTATATATATTTAAAATTTTTAAAGTAACTTTATATGTATTTTTTAAAAGATGAAAAAAATAGTGTTCATTGAACATTTACAGACTGACAGTAAATGTTTACTTTATGTGTATTATTACTAATACATTTACAGCAACCTGATGAGGTAGATGTTCTTACTACCCCCCACTTTACACATAAAAACACTGGGGCTAAGAGAGTTAAGTATTTTCTACAGATATTGAATGGTAGTACCTAGGGTTTGATCTTGGCTGTCTGACCCTAAATCTTTTTTTTTTTTTTTTTTATTGAAATAACGTTGGTATATAACATCATGTGGATTTCAATTGCACAATCTTATAAATCATCATCTGTTCTCCACCAGAAGTCTGGTTTCCATCCTTCACCATATATGACTCCTCTGACCTAGTTTAGCCAACATCCTTCCCCCTTCCCCTCTGGGAACCACTCTTTTGTTCTGAAAGTCTCAGAATTTGTTTTTGTTTTATTTGTTCATTACTTTTGTGTCTTTGTTTTCCACATGAATAAAATCAGTGTTTTACCTTTTTCCTACATATGTGTTTGAGAGGGAAAATATTGTAACCCGCTTTTTTCATATGGCAGCCATCTTACCAAGCTAGTCATATACATTTCATGCATTGTTAGTGGCAAAACAGTCTTTTTTTTTTTTGAAGATTTGTTTACGCATACAGAACTGGGGTGCAGGCCAGAGGTGACAAGAGGATTCACCAGAGACAGATAGAGAAGCAGAATAGGCAGATCAATGACATAGACTGCTGAGGGGAGCAGCGGGAGAGTCAGGAGAGGTCTGCTGTGCCATGTGGGCCAGGATTGAACTCACTCTGAAGCAGCTGCTGCCAGCTTGCAGTGCTGTGCCTTAACCCCTTGTGCTACCAGGGAGGGCCAGCAAAACAGTCTTATTAGGTGTCCCATCATGCATTGAACCAGTCATTCATTTCCACTTTTCAACAGTGATGAATAGTTTATTCTTTGCTAATCCTCAAGAAAAAATTCTATAACATTTTAAACTACCAGGTGATAGTATGTTTTTGGAGGTTCTTAATTTGTACTGCACCTAAGAAAAAATTACATAAATTCATCACTTTTTGGCCTTTTTTTTTTTTTAATTTAAAGATTTATTTTTATTTATTTGTGTACATACAAGAACTGGGGTCTAGGCCAAAGGTCGGGGGGAGGTGAGAGGATTCACCAGAGATAGAATAGAACAGTTGATCTACTGAAATCTACTGCTGATTGGAGCAGCGGGTGAGAGAGAAGAGACCTGCTGCGCCATGTGGGTCAGCTCCCTGCGCAGGGATTGAACTTATGCCCCAGTGGCTGGTGATAGCACTTAGATTTTAACCCCTGTGCCACCAAGGAAGTCCTCACTTAGCCTTTGATTTACGTGAATTTACATTCTGTCAAAGAGTGTCAGTAAGGGGCCCTCCCTGGTGACACATTGGGTTAAAGCGCAGCACTGCAAAGCTAGCTAGCCCTAGTTGCTTCAGTGTGAGTTTGATCCCTGCCCTGGAAGGTGACCCACATGGCACAGCAGACCTCTCCTGTCTCGCCCACTGCTCTCGTCACTTGTGTACTTTGTCATTCGGCCTGTTCAGCTCCCCACTCTCTCTGGTGAATCCTCTCACCACCCTTCCACCTCTGGCCTATACCACTGTTCTGTATGCATGAATAAATAAATCGTTAAAAAAAGAGAGTGTGTGTTAATTTCAAAGCATTCTTGATGAAACTGGGTTTCAATGTTTTTTACATTTTGAGCAGTTAATATTTTGCCATGTAAATACAGCTGCATTCAGAAGATAACATTCCTGAAACACATACCCCTTTGGGCAGGTTTCCCAGATATCTCATATACCTTTGGCTTCTTTGTTCTCAGATGGAGTTTGATGAGAAGGACTTGAGACGGGAGATCAGCTATGCCATTAAGAATATCCATGGCGTCAGGCAAGTTCTACAGGGATAGCTATGTTCCCTTCATCTTTATGTTGCCATCCTCCAGATAGTCAGTCCCTCTGGGTACGCAGATCGAGATGCCGTAAGAGGTCCCTGGTGGTTTTCAGTAACTGTCCCTCTGGATCTCAGAGTACTTGAGGGCACGTGTGCTCAGTCCTGTATAGACCTGCTAGGTTCCACAGTACTGCTACCCTTGGGTTAAACTCGCCAGTGGGCATGAGCTGCTGTGGTCAGCTGAGAAAGCTCAGTATAAATTTGCTTGGGGTGGGGGCTATGAGGTTAGAGAGCCAGAGCTGAGTCACCATTATAAGAACTTGCATTTGTTCCCAGCATGGATCTCCCGTGCTGCCCATTTCCCCTCCATATACCAACAAATGTAATCATTCCAGTTGTCTGGTCTCACATGGCCTAGGGGACCCGACCCATGCCTATGACATTGCTGACCATGCTTTGTTTCTCTCTGACTTATCTCCCCTGTCCCTGGGTACGGATGGTTTTAGGACTGGGCTCTTCACCCCGGACATGGCATTCGAGGCCATTGTGAAAAAGCAGGTCGTCAAGCTGAAAGAGCCCTGTCTGAAATGTGTCGACCTGGTTATCCAGGAGCTAATCAATACAGTTAGGCAATGTACCAGTAAGGTATTGGACCCTCGGCAGGATGATTCCTGGCCTGTGGAAATGGGGAATGGGGGCTTGGTATCAGGCTCCCAGTGTTGCTTCAGCCTTTGCCCGGCCGGTGTTTTCCCCTCAAGCCCCAACCAGATCCCCTCGGTTTCCAAAAATATGGCCTCTTCCCAGAGGCTGGGACAGGAGCATTTTAGTCCTGGCACAAGTGGGGTATGCCAGCCCTGCAGAACTGGCCAGATGGTGGGCAGGCCTCCCTAGGACCCTGATACCAAGCCTAGCATGTGTCTGATGGAATTGGGGTTTTCATTGGGCTGTCGCTTTGTTGCCTTCTGGGAGCAGAGAGGGACCCCGCATCAGCTGCTGGAGGCCGAGTGCCTGCAACCTCCCTGGTCGCGCTTTTTTTTTTTTTGACAAAAGTCTGGCATTCTCCGGCATCTCAGGAGCCAGCCACTTCTCTGTCCCCACAGCACTCAGAAAGGCCAGACACCAGCAGCATAATGAGTACTCAGTCCCAGACTTCACAAAGCTACTGAACTCCTAAGGGCCTCCACCCACCCTTGCTCTATCCCCCAGAGCAGCTGACCTCAGATCCAATGGGTCACATGCTCTGTGTGCTGGTGTTCTCGGGCCACTGCCTCCACTCGGCAGGACGTGCCAGGCCCCTTATCCCCTGCCAGCCTGGTTCCCAGGGCAGCACGCTTTGGCCAAGCAGCTGAAGCGCTTCCTGTGGGCAGTTTGTGCTTGCACGTCCATGATGGTGGAGCGCTCTGGGTCGGCTTTCCAAGGCAAGACATTTCTGCTTGAGCCTTCTTTACTTAGTCTGGCAAAGCCCACATTTGCTTCTTAAGCTTCTTCAACTGGAAAATAGAAAAGGGTGGAGGGTGGGGGGGCCCAGATGGGTTGAAGGTGGTCATCCGAGAGCCCTTTTCACAATATGGAAACTGAAGGCCTCTATACTCCCATAGCTGTCCTTATGATGACACCAACCTGTGGCGCTAAACTCTGTGCCAGTGCCATCCCTGACTCAGGACGCCTCTTTGATCTGAAGCAGCTTCCGGGGCAAATGCGGGCACAGGCTCCTCCATGCATGTCACTAACCAGCTGATTCTCATTTCTTCTCTCTCTCTGTCTCCTGTCCCGCCTGTGTGGTCTGCACTGTCCCTGGGTGTCTTTCTACCTCGTCCTGCCCTCCTCATGACCCAGGACGGGGCTCTTCACCCCCGACATGGCCTTTGAAGCCATTGTGAAAAAACAGATTGTAAAACTCAAAGAGCCAAGTTTGAAGTGTGTTGACCTCGTGGTTTCAGAACTGGCCACGGTCATTAAAAGGTGTGCTGAGAAGGTAATAGAAGGTTTCGTTATTATCACCTATGCATTTGTCCCTGCCTTCTCCCTCCCATTTGTCAGTCTTGACCCAGCATCTGGGAAACGCTGCCTCGGCAGGGCCCCTCCCCACCTCTTGGGCCAGTGTCACTTGGTGACATCTGAGCTTTACATCAGCAGACAGAACGAAGGGTTGCAGCACATACATGTTCCACCTTTGCAGTTTTGGTACCAACTAACGGGAGGCGTCAAACGGGATAGGCAACCTGCAGGACTCAGTGCCAAGTGCCTGGAACCCTCAGAAAAAGAGGGTCTCGCAGGAAACCCTAGGAGTGAAACACATCAGCAGGTTGCAGGCCTGTGTGTTCTTAGTCTCAGGCCATTTAATGAGTGATTTGGTGCACAGTTCAGTTTCTCCAGCTTATGAACTTGACACAAACTGCAGAAGGTGGACTTCCTGTGTGTTTGCCACAAAGACGAGGGGCACTGGGCTGTGGAAGGAGCGGGTTCTGTTGATCAGATGATGGAGATGGTTGTCTGCAAAGGGGTCCCTCCGAGGTAGGTGGCCCAGATGTTGCCCCAAACATCCTCATCAGGTGCTGTGCACTTAGGAGCTGGCAGGGGGGCCTCACTCCAATGCCCTAATGGCTCTAGTGACAGAAGCCTCCTTCCTCTCTCCCAGTGCTGGTTGGGAGGCAGATGGTGGTCACCACAGGGTGGCAGACACACCACCTGCTCTCCCTACTCTTTCCACCTCTGAATCACATTCTCCAAAAGCGTTTCTGCTCGTGTGGGCACCTCTTGGGCCCACCGTCCCCTACCATCCCCTTCTTGTCTCTTGACTGGCACTATAATGAGACAAGAAAGGGGTAGGGGCTCTGTGGGCCTTTCATATCACCTCCCTTCCCTTCTCCCTGCATTTTCCATGTGGTTCATGCTACTTCCCATACCATGGGGACCCCACCAATGCCTCCATTCTGCTTCCCCCCAGCTCACCTCCTACCCCCGGTTACGAGAGGAGACGGAACGAATCGTCACCACTCACATCCGGGAACGGGAAGGGAAAACCAAGGAGCAGGTATTAGCACTTATTTTGCTTTTCTAGTATAATTTACATACAGTAAATCCTGAATATACCGTTCTTCGAGTTTTGCAAATGTATATAGCAAGGTAATTCCCCTTCTGTATCAATCAAAATTCACAGCAGTTCTGTCACTCCCTCCACCCCAAATTCCCAGCTTTTGCCCCCTTCTTATCAACTCCCCCTCCCCCCAAGTCCCCGGTCCTGGAACCACAGGGCTGCTCCCTGTTCCTGTAGTTTTGCGTTTTCCAGAAAGGATTTGTACGCCATAGGTGCTTGATTCTGACCACCTATGCTCGGAGGAATGCATGCAGGACTCACCCCTGTCTGTTGTAGTTTGTTGCTTGGGTGCTGAGCAGCCTTCCATGGCTTGGTGGACACTTGGGCAGCATTTTGTGTTTTAACATTTTCTTGTGAAAACCATCCAAGCACGCAATGATCGAGAGGTGGTGCACCCACACACATACATGCAGCAGAAGTCTCATCTGGCCCCGGCTGAGCCGAAGGCTGTCATTCCCCTTTCATGTGACCCACCTCCTGGCCTAAGTCACGTTCACACTTTGCGCTGTGGTCTCTGCAGCTGTTTGTTTAAACCAGAAGAGAAATAAGCCTTCATCTCCTACTTGTTTGTAATATCATGTCTGGAACAGGCCTCTCCCCTAGACACTGATAGAGAAGAGAAACTGGCTTATTTGACCCTCAGACTCAGCCCTTCCCTTAGCTTCTGTGGCTTCTATCTATGGCCTGGAAGGTATATCAGAAGCTTGAGACATTCCAGGTTTTTTTGTTGTTGTTGTTTTGTTTTTTGTTTTTTTACCATCAGTGGCAAAGATGCTGCCCTCCTTTCATACGTGCCATGGTCCCCAGCTGCCCCAGCATCCACACTACTCCGAGGTAGTAGGACTCCGGCCTGACAGAATCAACAAAGGTGGCTCCTACAGGCAGAGCCCAGCACATTTTCTGGCAATCCCACAGTCTGAGTGCCTGGCCCATTTTATCCTTAAGGGCTCAGAGGCCAGTGAGGAGAAAGAGCAGGATCCTGCCTGCGGGCCCGTCTCTTGCCTGAGATGACTTCCCAGCTTACTCACGTGTGCCCTTGCGTGTGTTTCATTTTAATGTCCTCTCCTAGTCACATTACCTTTGTCCCTTTTGGGTAGGGAGGGAACTTTGCTGTGTGAAGAAGCTGGTTGTACAGAGTAAGGATTGTACTAACACAGGTGAAGTGGGGAGACCCAGAGGCCAGAGCGGGGAGGATGGAGAGGTCACATCCCTGCCCTTTACCCCACCCTAGTCATCTGTGGGGGGGAAGGGGAGAGAGGACTAAGGAGATGCCCAGAGACCCTTCACCTCCAGCCTTATTTTTCCTCAGTTTTGCTGTCTTAATGTGGCCCTTCTGCTGGGCACTAAAAAGTTTATACGTTGTGAATTATGTAATCTTGTCTAGTCAGGTCTCTCATCTTCCCACTACACAGCCCGGTGACATGTCACCCAGGGTGACACTCAGCAGCTGAACTGGGTGGGACCAATGCCCCTGTGGCCACCCAGCCCCAGAGGACTTCTCCCTGATTGTCACACTAGCCTGTCTCACTCTGTGCCTCTGATCTAGCCAGACTTCTTGATGTCTGAAGGCACCCATGCCCCCTTCCCCTTGTGGACAAGCCCTAGGTGTTTGTGGTGGGAGGGGGCCAGGGCCATGTACTTGTGGCCCCTGTTCTCCTGGGGGAAGCAGCCTGGTTCTTAACCCCGAGCTGGTGGGTACAGAAAGTGCTCCTCCTTGCCCCACTCTACTGTACACTCACAGTGACCCCCGCTTTCCCCCAGATTCTGCTTCTGATTGATATCGAGCAGTCCTACATCAACACGAACCATGAGGACTTCATTGGATTTGCCAAGTATGTACATGCACTTTTCAGGACAGCGGTGGGCAGGGTGGCACCAGTGCCACCCTGGGAAGTGGTCAAGTTGGGATTTCCTCAGTGGGTTGGGGCAAGAGGATCTTGCCAGAGGTCCTGAGGTGAATCATCTGAGAGATGGCCCCTGAGCCAAGAGCAGCCCCAATCCCATTGTCCATAATGTGTCTCCTGTGGTCAGACTCATCAGGAATGTGAAGCCAACAGCATTCAGTGCTTCCTTCCTCGCAGTACTTTTGAGGCTTTCCTCAATTCATGTATAGTGTTCCTAGGTACCCCCATTTGCAGCCACCCCTTTCATAGAGTACTTCAGGTGTCCAGAGTTATAGGGGCCACTCTTGGGCAATGCTGCTCATGATCTCCATGGGTTCCATCCCTATAGTGTAGATTTAAGACGAGAAGCTTCTGTGTACCCAGATAAGGAGCCAGAGTACAGAACTCCGATTTTTTTCAAGAGGAAGAATAAACATACTGGTGGTGAGGTCACCCACTGGTTCTATCAATTCCTGGGGCCCCCTCTGCAAGCTTGGATTTCCCAAGGATTGTTCTAGTGGCCCATGAAATCTTACTCTAAGCCCATGACAGAGGCCACCCACCTGTATTTATTCCCAAGCTTGCTTACATGCTGTCTAGTCCCATGCCCTGTAATACATAGTAGCAGCACAGACCCAAGGCCCTCGAGGAGGGCGCCTGGGCAGTGCGGATGGTGGTGTCCCTGCTGTGGGCAATGTGGGCCCCATGGGAGTCCAGAGGGCAGCCTTCTGGGCTGTCTCCAGCATTTGATAGACTCCTTTGAGGAGGGGCTGGGCTAGAAAGTCTCTGTCTAAGTAGTTGCCTGGGTAGAACATTACACTCAACACACTTGACTGAACAGTTACTGTATGTTGGTTAGATGGTAAGTGAGTGGAATGATTGAAGGAAGAAATGGGGACATGATCAGAAACTTCTCCTAGAATATACATGACCGAGCAAGTCGCTCTTACTGGACTGGCTCTGCTAGGGGTGGGTTTGGGGGTCTCAGGCAGCACCTTTGATGCAGCTTGGCTTCTGGGGAGGCAGCCTCTCCTCCTGTTCCCTCAGCAGCCAGGAATGTATGGACTGAAAACGCTGGTACCCCCTCTCGGTTTACTGCTATTTTCCTTATCTTGATATCTCTGCTTCTCATACTTCATTCACAGTTCCTTCTCACAATTTCTCCTGTTTTTCCTTTGACCACACCACTCTTTCCTCTGGATTCCTGGGCCTTCCCACTTCCCCCAGCTGTTACTATACTGAGCAGCTGGTGACCGGGTGGGTATTGCCTGCTGTGTGCCTTTTTCCTGGTGTGTAAATGGGGACACCCTGGCTGGGGGAGGTCCCAGGGTACCAGGCTTGTCCTGGCCCTGGATGAGATGTTCCAAGCACCCACTGAATAGCTGTGGAGCCCTTTCCCAGAACCTTTGAACTCAGTTGATGAACAAGCCATACTTGGACCCTGCCCCTTCCTACTCCACAAGCAGTGGTGTTAACAAATTATCGCAAGGAAGGTGAGCATTGGACAGGAGGTTACACAAGGCGCTTTTGAGAAGGAAATAAGGGATGTGGCCTGACAGAACCTTCCCCCCAGAATATCACGACAGCCAGATGTGAGGCACAAGTGCCTGGGATGGGGTCTGGGGAGGGTGGCCCTGGTGTAGGAGGCAGGGAACCGAAGCTGAGCAGCAGGAGCATGGGAGAGACACAACCAAGATCAGGTGGGAGTGAGCGGCCATTGCAGAACAGTTCTGTTAGGCCTTGAGATTCCCTCTCTGCCCTCCATCAAGAAATCCCTAATTGAGTGAAGGCAAGATAAGGGACAGCCACATGGCTGCCAGGCGAAGATAAGGGCCGAGAAACTGTTAGAAGTAGTCCATCGTGGCCCTCATGAGCTTCCAGCCATTGCTGTGGGTGGCCCCTCCTCCTTCAGACACTATTTGTCAAACTTCTTCCTGTACTTACATGTTGTGGGTGGTTTCCTCACTGCCTTGTAAACATTTTTAAAAGCCCTGTAGTAATCTCACCAAATGTTAGAAAATTGTTGGATAAAATTGGCCCTCCCTGGTGGCGCAGTGGGTTAGGATGCAGCACTGCAAGCCAGCCACAGCCGCTTCAGTGCGAGTTCAATCCCCAGGTGATCCACATGGCGCAGCAGACCTCTCCTGACCCACCCGCTGCTCCCCTCAGTGTACTTCGTTCAACTGCCTGTTCTGCTCCCGACTCTGTCTCTGGTGAATCCTCTCACTGCCCCCACACCTCTGGTCTGTACCTCAGTTCTGTGTGCATAAATAAACCTTTTTAAAAAATCTCACCTTCATTCATAAGTTCCAACTTTACTCTTCTAGTAGGAACAAAAACCTATTTTCTACACACACACACTCACACATTTCCTTTTCCAACAGCCTGCTTGAATTTTAAGGTAAAAACCCCAGACACAGTAAGGAAATGAACAAAAATGGTTTACTTTTTCCGTATTGTTCCAAATGTTCCAGCTAAAGCAATAGGGTAAGACAAGACAATGATGATGTTTGATTACCAAGAAATATTAAATATTTACAGGTGCTAATGTTATCATCCAAGTCAGAGGAGGTTGGAGGAGTTTACTAGGCACACACATACAAAATACAATGTGTGGTGCAAACTAGCTAGGAAACAGGATAGGTGAAAAGAGACCTGGGACTAGACAGACTAGAAGGGACTTTGTAGAAACACACCCTGTTGACTTCGCTTGTCTTCTCAGTTGGCTCAGGAGCCATCTGAGATGAGTGATGTTTACATGGCAAGCAGCTGTTTCTGAGGCTCATCACCCAAACCGGAGAGCCCTGGTGGGCTCAGGTGCCACCTGGTAGGACCTGGTGGCAAGGTTGGAATAGTAGGAATGGAAAGAACCTTCAAGTTTTTAGCCACCTACCAGCCAGGCACTCTAGTTATTCTGGAGCAATCATGGCCACCTCCCAACCACGTGGGACTCCAGCTTTTCATGCCCCCTCTTGGAAACTGCAGGATCCACTGACTTGCGGAAACAGCTGCACGCTCAGGAATGTCTGAGACCAGGGCCGGGAAGCTTTGGTTTTAACTCAGTATTTTCTTGTTCTACGAGCCTGAGCTGTTTTCCTTGGGCAGCACTATGTGTAGGGGCCTCTCTCTGCCTCTGCTGGTCACTTCACTCCCCTCCCCACCTATGGAAGAGAAACCCCCACCTGGGCCACAATGGCCTTTTGATCCTCATCCCACTCAGCAAATTGCCGCATGAATCCTCTCTGTGCTCTGGTTTCAGTGCCCAGCAGAGGAACACACAGCTGAACAAGAAGAGAGCCATCCCCAACCAGGTAGCCACCCTTCCACAGCCTACACCTCCACCTTGGCGGCGGGAGGGCATTATGGGACCGCCAGTCCAGTGCTGGTACGGGTGCCGAGTACACCCTACCAGAAGCTGGCACCTTAGCCCCAGACCCTTCCACCCCCAACCTCTCAAGTCCACCGAGGTTTTGATGTGTCAGGAAAGCGAGTTGAGAGCTGAAGCTCTGGCAGGGCCTAGGGAACAAATTTCATAAACCCATGACATCCTGTCTGACACCCGAGGTCACAGAACTTGACCCTCGAGAGAAGGGCAGCCCCATCACCTATGGTGTCTGTAGCCAAATTGAGGTCTCAGTCCCAGCCCCAGGGACTTGGAATCTGTGGGAGAGGGCTGGATGGGGAGCTGTGTTGTGATCAGCAGTTCTGGGGAGCCAGGTTGTGCGCTGAGCCCACACCTGGAGAAACCCAGAGCCTGAGAAAGGAATGTCGCTTTTGATGTGCTCCCAGCCAGAGGCCATGTGAAATATGAACATATTTATATATGCCAGTATTAGGTGCCTTTTTTTATTTCAAGAAAACACCTCATCCCTGCAAAGATTGCTCCCAGTTTCCCCCACTTCTCCACTTGGGGGGAGGGGTAGCTCTGCTGTTAGCTGCACGACTATAGAACCCTCTGGAAAAAGAAGGATGTAACCGCTGCATGATTTTTATTTTGCGCTTGCCATAGGTAATACGTATGTTGTTGCTTTTTTGTTTCAGGAGATGATAATGAATTAAATATTAACACCATGAATATAATTAATAGCATGTAATTTTTTTTCTTTTGCTGTTTTTCCTCCTGCTCTTCTTCTTCTTCCATTTTTGTGCTTTTCCTGCTTTTTTCTCTGTTCCCTCATGTCCCTTTCGTCTCTTTTCTTCCACCTGCTACTCTTTGATTTACCCACCACCCTAACTTTGCATTTTCAAAGGGGGAGATCTTGGTAAGTACCCGTTTAGTGTGGTAGCGAACCTTAGCGACCCTAGCAGTAACAGAGACCCTGCCGTCCTGTAACATCCCCTTCCCCCCCAAAATAACACGACTAACCATCAAGCTAACCTAAAATCCCTGTGTCGCGATGCAGGCCTAGTGTCGCCCTGGGCATAAGCCATAAGCCAACTCACATAGACACTAACTTGACCTCTGCCCTGTTGGAGAGCCCTCTTCAGTTCATTCCTGACAGGTTGACCTGGTTTCCTATAAGTTGGGATGGCAAACACTGGGCTGATGCTCCATGCCTCTCTCTTCACAGTCCTGGCCAAGGAAAGATTTTGCTCAGACCTTACTGGAACTTGTTCTTGCTACTGCCACTCCTCTTTCCATCACAATACAGAAATGTTCCGCTCTTGCTCTCACGGCAGACTTCACTCATTGATCCAGTACTCTTTCCCTTGTGCTTATCTCCTGTTAACGTGCCTGTGTCAGACATCACTAACCAAGCCTGGCATTCTTTCCTAAGCATGTCACCCATTCCCTTTTCTGTGGCAAATGTGACTGACCACCCAAGGTGTTTTTTCCCCATTCCTGTGCCTATGACAAAATGACTGACCTGGGAACTTTCTCCTGGATGCTGCCTCTATCCTGCCTCTAGGGCAGATATGATTATTGATGAGACCACTTCGTTCCATTTGCATCTTTCCATTATCTTTGCCTGTGGCAGATATCATTAATTGATCTAACATTCTTTCCCCATTGCACCCAAAATTGTCCAGGCAGCTCCTGCCCATGGGTCAGCGTGGGCCCCTCCCCCAGATGAATGGTATCTGCCATCCCTGTTGTAGGTGACACCTCTTCTGTGTGTGGCTTGGCCTAGCCCAGCAATGGCAGAAGCTGCTCACATCTGGGAGTTGAGCTCTTTTCAAGGTGGTCCCCTCGGGGCAGCTGGCCTCGCCCCTTGGTGAGGTCTCCAGCACAGAGGCCTCCTTCTCAAGATACTCTCCTATTCCCAGCTACTGGGGCACTGTATAGACCTCTGCTGACCTTCAGCAGAGATCTTTCCAGGAGCTGAGCTGTGATTCTGTGGCTGAACCTCATTGTGCCCAGGGTCTGGAGACTGCAGAAATGGCCAAAGTTCTTGGGGGGCAGGGGTGATTGTTCTTCGACCCTTGGTGTCTGCTTTCCCCAAGTATCACCAGCCCTGGTGCCTTTCCTGTCTGTGCAACTCAGACCAGCCTGTCACCGGGGAAAACTGGGCCATCTTGCTAGCAGGCCCAGCTGTGCTGCTGTCTTCCTGCCGCCCATGCCGCCCTGGTGGCCCTGTCCCCTCGGGGGAGTGCCTGCATGCCTGTCGCTGTACACCCTAAAAGAATGGGAAACTTGCCTGCCTCTTCTGTTCTTGCACCCCCACCCACTCCCATGTCTCACTCCAGCTCTTCCTCACCTAAGCACAGTCACTAACGGGATGTGCCCCCTTGGGTGCAAATCAGGCTTTTAGATGTGGGAACCTAGTCGCTCCTTTTGCTCTAGCTTAGCCCCTCACCTTCCCTCCTGGGGTAGAACCTTGTCTCCTACTCCATTTGGGTAGCTCTCTGGGTAGCCTGAAAATAGGGCCGCAGGGCTTCCCCAGACCTTATCAGCAGCCTTCTGCTCTGAGGCTCAGCCATGCCATCCCTGGCAGCACTGTCCAGGCCCTGCCAGCTGGCTGCTAACCAAGGGTACAGCAGGCCATGGCACATAGCCCCCTGACAACCAGACTGGGTCACAGAGCGTAAAAGCCTCCCTGTGAGGATTTCTCCTCTGGGAAGGGCCAATCCACACCCCCACTCTCCTGGCTGTCAGTCAGTGACTCAACTGAGATTTACTGGCAGTTCCTGGAGAGAACCAGACAGCTTTGGGGCTGGGCCTGGTTGCCAGAACAGGGATTCCTTAGGTCCCATGCTGTGCCCTTGACCTTATCAAGGTCTTCCAGGTAGCATCTCTTAGTGTCCCCAGTCTGAGCATGGACTTCTGCATGGCACAGGAGCCCCTGGGTGCTTTATGGCCATCTCCACCTTCATAGGCGGTGAGGCTGAGATCCCAAAACCAGCTACAGGGGTGACCCTGTTACTAAGGGCAAATCAGGGCAGGCTCAGATAGCATGTGGACCCCAGAGTAATCACTTCAGCCCAAACTCTAGTGCTCCTGCTCCACCCCATGCTGGAGTGGGGGGGCTCAACGGCAGCCCTTCCCAAATGTCTGTGGCCATGCACAGCGCGCCCTCTGCAGCTTGATGCATCTGCCGCTGCCCTGGCTGCAGGTGGCCCTGCCTGTGCTTCCCACTGCCCCAGGGTCAGAGTTCTCAAGCCAGATTGGTAGGGGCTCTGGCCCACTCTTGCCACCATGGCCCAGGGAATTATGGGAGAATGACTCCTCTGGGCTGCCTGCATTTAGCTGTCAGGTGAGTCCCCCCACTAGAGTTGGGTCCTGCCTTCCGCTCATAAGGCCGCTATGGCCAGACAGCTCCCATCCATGGGGCCCCCCAGCCCAGAACCCTATGTGTCAGTCAAAGACAAGTGGGACCACTGGACTGAAATCAGGATGGGGCGTGCTCCCCTGGAGGTTCCCTGGAATCAGTCTTTTGCTACCAGACCTCCAGGTGGAGACTTTCCTTTATCCTTTCCCTCAGAAAAGACCCTGTGGGGAAGGGAACCCTGCCTATAAACACTGGTCAGGGCAGGTCCCTATGACCACCGAGCACACCCTCACCCAGTCCTGGTGAGCCAGGCAGATGAGCTGACAGAGCTGGCATGTTAAATCTCGGCTAGTCTACCCACAAAGGAGATCAAAAGAACCACTCCATTGCGTGGGTGACTACCTGCCCCTCCAACACCACCTTCCAGTGAGCATGAGGGCAGGGGCCACGGGCATCCTGTACCCACATCTCATCAAAACAACAGCAGCTCTTGCATTGTCACATCCCGTGTGATGAGGACCCAAACACCAGCATTGGACCCCTCTTTCGGACCCCTCTGCCACCTGTGCTAACTCATTTTAACCGTGTGCAAAGGGGTTCCCTCGGCCCTGTTCCTTGGCACCCCTGGATCTGTGAGTGAGTAGGTGTCTGCCTGGGTGTCCCATGTTCGTTTCCAGCAGGAGGTGCTTGGGGCAAGGCAGAGTGGGGTGTCTGGCTTTGGGCTGGAAGTGTGTCTGTCAGGGTCTGGGCTTCCTTCCCTTTTCTGGGCATAAGCACTGGTCGCTGCACTGGGGCGGGTGGGCTGAGCTAGGGTACCCCCACTGAGCCTTACCTTCCTCGCCAGGTGATCCGCCGGGGCTGGTTGACCATTAACAACATCAGCCTGATGAAGGGTGGCTCCAAGGAGTACTGGTTTGTGCTGACAGCTGAGTCACTGTCCTGGTACAAGGATGAAGAGGTAAGTGATAGGTGGGGCAGTTGGGCAGCATTGGGGGCTGTTCCCCTGGGTGGCATGCACTGATTTGCCTGCTCATTTGGATAAGTTCCCTGAGTGCCACTGTGCCTCAGGGTTCACCACTGGGATGGTAATGATGAGCCAGATTCTAAGCATCATAAGGCACCTCACTCTGCCCCATGTGGGGCCCAGCCCCTAAAGAGGAAAATGGGGTGAGGGGAAGCCATCAACAAATTGGAACGGGATCCCCACCTCCAAAGTCACGGCAAATTGGGCCCTGTATTTCACTAGAAGGGCCAGAACCTGAGGTTAGGAACTCAGGCCCATAACCAGCCTGCTGAGTGCTCAAGTTGCACTGCCCAGAGGCAGTACAGACTCATCCAGCCCTTAGCCTGTCTGGGCTTCAGTTTCCTCAACTACGAAGTGGGGGTGAAATGGCCCCTGTGGAGCGTGTAAGGTGTTTTTAGCTATGTCTTGAACATTTCACTCGTGGCTGTCCTTACCCAGAGAAAGTGGGGGCTTCTAAGTATGGCAACAGGAATTACAACTCCAATGGCAGCATGAGCTGGGTGCTGACTGCCAGGTCCCTCCTTCATCTTGACATAGCCTCCTGTCCTTAACAGAACAACTTAATCTGAGAGGCCTGGGAGTTGTTGCTCTGAGCAGGCCAGTTGGATTCCAAGGGTCCCCAGTAAGGGGCACTGTGCTTATTAGTTTTCTCAGGTTGTACAGTGGGAGGCCCACAACTGAGGTGGTGTTAGGTCTGTTGGGGCAAGTGTCAGAGACCCAAGTTGAAGACACTCCTAAAGTTTGTTTCTTGCTATGTCCCGGTAAACTTGATGGCTTAGCACTGCAAGGCTGACTGGCCTCCTTGTGACACAAGGGTCTGCCACTGTACCCGTCACATGTGGACCTCTAGCAACCCTTGTGAAGGAAAAGAAGGGCCTGTGGAGAAAGGCGTGTGCATCACTCTGTTCATGGACTCCCACCCCCCACCCCACTCCCAGCCAGAAGCTAGTCACTCTGCCACCAGCAGAAGCGGGGCTCTTCTGGTCACCTCAAGAGCTGCCCCACCTTGCTCTTTCTCTAGGGGGATTTATGAAGCAACCCCATGGAAATGGCCCACATCAGGGGCCTCACTGATAGATAACCCTCATCCAGGTGGGCAGGCCTGTATATTTCTGCATGGGCAGGTGGGGGTGGGGATGGGGGTGAAACTCCAGGCCCTTGTTTTCCTTGCTGGCTCCCAGAGCCTCCAAGGCCATATATGAGAGTACCTACCCTCCTCCTCCTAGTCCTCACACTTCATGTGGGAACAAGGAAACAGGCTTAAGTAGGATTACAGAGTGGGGAAGGGTCCCTGAATAGGAACTATGAGGCCAGAGATTTATCTCTGGGACCTCCCAACGACCCAGGAGCCCCAAGCTCCCTGTTTAGGGCCCTGTTTGGTCAGCTGTTTCTTAGCCAGGGTGGGAAGGGGTGGAAATGTCTTAAGACTCTAGAGCTGGCAACCTCTCAGGGTTTGGATGCAAAAGAGAGGGAAACCAGGTGTCCTCAAAGAACCCATATGACCAGATTAGCTTCTTAAAATGGCTGGGGTAAGGGAGTGAGGTTAATGCTTTCTAACTTTCTCCTCCTCTGCCCCTGCAGTCTGAAATCCTGTCTCCTCTCTGTGACTTCAGCTATCAGGCAAGCTAATGGCTGGTCCCTGCATTTTGCTGGAAGTGTAGGGGTCATCTGGGGCCTCCAGGGTGGGAATGCCAGGCCTGTTACAGAGGGGCTTCTGGCCAAACCCCAGCCTGGTAGTTCCCCGAATGGTGGCATCACAAGTCCAATTATAAGAGCTTCTCAACTTTAAAAAAATATATATTTACTTATGCATATAGAACTGGGGTACAGGCCAAAGGTGCAGGGATGCTAAGAGGATTCACCAGAGACAGTGGGGAGCAGAACAGGCAGATAGAGGAAGTACACTGCCGAGGGGACCAGTGGGTGGGCCAGGAGAGGTCTGCTGCGCCATGTGGATCACCTCCTGGGGCGGGGATTGAACTCACACTGAAGCGGCTGTGGCTAGCTTGCAGTGCTGTGTCCTAACCCATTGCACCACCAGGGAGGGTCCAGGTATTTATCTTTTGAGGGGCACTACATTTTTCCCTTATCTTGGGATTGAAAGGAGAGCCAAACACCTCTTGGGCCCCCTAACCAGAGGCAGGGAAGTGTGGGAGGAGTGTCGAGCACCTGCAGTAATGAGAACCAGCAGAGCTGTGAAAGAGGCGCCCGTGTGCCCCAGGCACAAGGCAGGTTCAGATCCAGAGGGGGCCAGACTAAAATCCTCATCACCCAAGTTAGAACCCCAGCAAGGACCCTGAGACAGTCACATGTGCAGTGACTGCCCATGGCAGGCAGGCTCACTTCTCAGAGAAATCTCAGACAGGCAAGCCTTTGCTATGTCTTTATTTACAAAATAAATAGGAGGTACTGGTTATCGAAGTGAGAGTCGGGCCAGAGACGCCTCGCCCTCACCCAGTGCTGGCGCTCCCTCTGCCTTTCCTTGGAGCCTTTTTAGCCACCCAGGTGCTTCTTCTTTACTCCAGAATATTCTATGAGTCTATACCCTATGGGAAACAGGGTGTTGAACAGTTAACACTCACCTCCAACTCTGCCTCGCTGAGGGGTAGCCGCAAATTTAGGGGGCCATCCTGACATGCTGCTTGCCTGAGCCCAGCCTAACCAGTGTGCAGACTACTGTACACATTCATAACACCCTGAACAGGTAGTCTGAACACTGGGTTGGCGGGGCTGGCTGTCCATCCTGCAGGCCCCCTGGGTGGTAGCAGGAACACGGCGCTTCAGCTCCTCCACGCAGGCAAAGAAGCCAGTGCTCTGCCTGTAATGATCAGCTCCGTCTTTATTGACGTGGCAAGACTGGGGCCAACTCGCATCTGGAGAAAGTTGTGGGTTTTCAGGAAATCCTAGTGAGGGTGGGAGGGGCAGTGGGGGAAGTGGATAGAGGCGGGTGGAAAGAGGGCTTGGGTCAGGGCCTCTCTGTGCAGGTCTCTGGGTGGGGGCGGGGTAGGCCACTTGCATGCCTCTGTATGTGTGTGTTGTGTGTTTTTGTATGCATGCCGCAGCATCAAGACACTAGGCCAAATCATGCAGTAAGCAGTTCCAGATGTGGTGTCTCACTTGGGGCCCAAAAGGCCTATGACTCAGTTACTTAGCCTGGCCAGCCAACTAGAAGCTTCCTGCCTCATGGCACAACAGGGCGGAGGCAGCAAAGGCCCTTCCACACGCCAAAGCTAGAGGCAAACAGACAAAAGAAAATTTTTCATATATGCACCTCAGTCCTTATCCTGCACCTTGATGGCAAGACTTCAGTCACCTTTAATGAGGCAAAAAGGGTATGTGACTTGCCCAAAGTCATACAGCTGGGACGGGCAGAGCCCATCTGAGCTCAAACACTGAATATCAGAGCTCATGTATCAAGTTTGTCTCCCTTTCCACAGCCCTAAAATTGCCAGTGACTTCTGCTCACCAAGGAGCCCCTGACCCCCACCCATTACCATGACTGCTCTTGAATTAAAAGGCAGCAAACCACGTTGAGCCTTCTAGGAACAGGAACAGGATACATGTGACAGGAGGACTGCTAGGTGAGAGGAGCTGTCTATCCTCTTCCAAGATGCCTAAGAAGTGAAAGGCCAGGAAGGTCACAGAGAGACCTGGCTTTGGGTAATACAGCTCTGGCTTCTGAAACCCCACTGTGGCTTACTTGCTATGTGGCCCTAGGTGGAGCACTTCCCTGGCAGGGATGCTGGGAAGGAGTCTGTAAAATGATGGACAAGCAGGAGTTGGTATTAGTCTCCGAAATCTGTCACAGGTCACATAGGCGTGAGTCAGGGGTCCTGTCTCTGTGCTCTGGTCTCCTGATGCACCTGTGGGGCCCAATCCACAAGCATACAGTAAGTGCTTCGCCAACTTCAGTGGATGAACATTGGCTCCAGAACTCCCATGTCATAACTTCAAGCACCAGCCCTGTGCCCCTGGCCAAAGGACACATTCTCGCTTTTGTTGGCGTCCCCAGCGTTCTGGGGACTGCCTGGTCAGCATTCAGCAGTGCTTCCTGAATACACTCACCACTTAGAAGCAAGTGACACTTCTTCAGCTTAGGCTTTGAGGCATTAACCCACCAGGGGGGGCGGGGAAGTCTTGCTTTCCAGATCTGTGTTTGAAGCTGCCCTTCTCTCTCTGCCTCAGCCTCCTTTTCTAGAAAATGGGGCCATAGTAGTAAACTCACGCACAGGCTCATTGTGAAGACATAAGTAATGGTTTCATTCTTGTAAACTGGAGGGGAAAAGTGGTTGGATTCTTGGGATTTCCAGCATCTGCCTAGTGTTAGCAGAGAACAAAAGTCAGGAGTCCCTGTCAAGCGTCAAGGAAAGAGTGCATTTGGGGTAAGGTGATGAAAGGCCTCATCAAAAATGTCAGCTGCACAAATACCTGAAGGAGGCAGGGAGGGAGCTGTGTAGACATTCTGAAGATTCTGCTGCAGGCAGAGGCCCTGGGTGTGCAAAGGTCCCGGGATGGGAGCCCAGGGGATGTTGAGAGTGTCAACAAAGTTGGGTGTTGGGGCAATGAGTGAGCAGGAGATGGTGGCACAGGAGTTAATTTCTGTAAAGTGACCTGCACTGACTGGCATCAGGCATTGGGGGTGGTCCTTGAAGTAGAGTCCAGCCTGGGGCATCCTCAGCTTCATTAAATAATGCTGGCTGACCCATTCATCTTCCATCCTCAGGAGAAAGAGAAGAAATACATGCTGCCCCTGGACAACCTCAAGATCCGTGATGTGGAGAAGGGCTTCATGTCTAACAAGCATGTGTTTGCCATCTTCAACACGGAGCAGAGGTAAGGATGGGGTCCCAGAAACGTCACTCAGTCACTTAGCAGTGTCTACTGAGCACATGAACAGTCCACGCCCTGGACTCTTAAGTTCTCAAAAGAAGGTCTGTCCAGAAACAAGAATGTGCTTTTGATGGGTAACTTGGAGAGCGCTGCCTGGGGTGCTCACATGCGCTCTCTGGTGTCTGTTGTGGGAATGGCAGGCCAGGACACAAGGGAGGTGGTCTAGGTGGGAGCTAGTGGCAACTGGACCAGGTGGAGCCTGGGTCATGGAGTGGGGAGGGGTGGGTTCTGAAAGAATTAGAACTGACCAGACTCCTGGTAGTTATGGGTGTGAGAGAGAGAGAGTGGTGTTGCTGGTTCTGCAAAGCTACTCCCTCACCACTGATAGAGTTCCAAACCTAGGCTTCACGTGACACTTGAAGGCTTGTCAGCCTTGGCCATGCCTGCCTTATGGGACAGGACAGGGTTCCTGTGACATAGAGTCTGGCCTGTGGAACCTTCTGTCAATGCCTGATAGCATCTGTCTTTCCTCCCACCTAAGCTGGTGCGTCTTGCACTCACAGGCTGCAAGACTTGCCAGCACTTACACACCTTCACTGGCTATCGTAATGCTGGTTCTAGACAGCCCCACATTCCTACTTGTCCCCCAGAAATCAGGCCAAATTCTAGACCTTCGCTATTCAATGCAGCAGCCAGTGACCACACAGGGCTATTTAAATCTAAGGTAGCTGATGTGGAATGAAATCCTTTCATGATGAACTTAATGTAGCATGCACATATGTTGCCTTCTAGCAATGCACCTGAAACTTATAACTCAGTGTCACTTCCTCGGTCACCCACCCCATTCCTAGTGTGAATCATGGCTGCCTTGTGTAGCTGGAGAATGTTTCCACTATCAATTTTCAGGGGCTCCCCATCTGGGAGAGGGTGTCATGAGACACATGCCACATACTTTTGGGTGACTTGTTTGGTTCCCACATGTGAGAACAAAGGGGTAGGCCAGCCCCACCGGTAAGAGAGTAGCTGACTGAGCCTACAAAACAGGACCCAGCACAGCAGGTACTAACTAATGATGCCCGTGAACTTGACAAAGTGCAGGTGCGGCTGCTTCTGGGTCCTCCTTTCCAGAGGCCTGGGCTGGGAGCATACGCCAGTCAGTCAGGCCCAAGATCCTGCTGTACTCATCGGGCCTTGGCAGGGGCAGGTGCACACCCATCCGTCCCCCACCCCCACCCCTCCCAATCACAGGAACGTCTACAAGGACCTGCGGCAGATCGAACTGGCCTGTGACTCCCAGGAGGACGTGGACAGCTGGAAGGCCTCATTCCTCCGAGCCGGCGTCTATCCTGAGAAGGACCAGGTGAGGAACCAGCCCTACCTGTGAGAGGAAGGACAGCCAGTCTCCCCTGAGAGTCACTTGTGACCCTCTGAAGGCATGTAGTGATACACTCTTGAGCAAAGCAAAATGGTTGGAGGGGTTTCTTATCAGAGCCCAGAAGGTTCTACATCTAAGCCAAGGGCAAGGACACATGTGGATTGGGAGTCTTTGTACTTTGTTCTTTTTCTTTCTCCCCATCTTTGAGGTGGTGTGACAATAGATGCCCTTAGCCCCCATATTAACGTGTTTCTCCAGACGCTCAGGTAAAAGAATCTAATGCAACTTGGACTAGATTTGAGGAGCCCCAGCCAAGGATTAGGCCACATGGTGCAAATGTAGCCATCAGGAGCCACGCCTCAGGGTCAGTTTTTGGTCTGACAGGAAAAGCAATTCCAGAGAAGAGGGGATTCACTGTACTCATCTCAGGCTAAAATCACCCCTTACTGGTATGCCTTTCTCCCCTTGCAGGCAGAAAACGAGGATGGGGTCCAGGAGAATACCATCTCCATGGACCCACAGCTGGAGCGACAGGTGGAGACCATTCGAAATCTGGTGGATTCGTACGTGGACATCATCAACAAGTCCATTCGAGACCTCATGCCAAAGACCATCATGCACCTCATGATCAACAATGTGAGTGCCTATCCCTTCAAAGCCCACTCACTGGAAGGAGCCCTGGGGTGGCCATAGCCAGATTTGGCTGAAACACCGTTTGTATAAAATTTTGAAAGTGGGCCCTCCCTGGTGGTGCAACAGATTAGGATGCAGCACTGGGAAGCTATCAGCAGCTGCTTCAGCACAAGTTCAATTCCCATCCAGGGAAGTGACTCATACTGGGTGGCAGACCTCTTCTGACCTGTCCACTGCTCCCCTCAGCAGTGTACTTTGTCAGTCTGCCTGTTCTGCTCCACAGTCTCTCTCTGGTGAAGCCTCTCACCACCTCTGCACCTCCGGCCTGAACCCCAGTTCTGTATGCATAAATAAGTACATTTTTAAAAATAATAATAAAAAAATAAAAAGAAAAAAGGAAGGAAGCAGCTATGTGTTATATAGGCATAGGCATCTCCGGAAGTTTGTACCAAAACCTGGTGGGAGCAGGTTTCCTAGAGGGAAACTTAGAGGAGTTAAGGAGTTTACACAGGTGTGGGGATTAAGAGAATTCACCAGAAGTTTTTTTCACTATAACTTAATATACTTTCAGATCATATTTTCATTACCAGTTTTTCAAAATGTATTTGTTATTTTTTTTTTTTAAGATTTATGTATTTATGGATACAGAACTATGGTATAGGCCAGAGGTGCAGGGCGGTGAGAGGATTCATCATAGACAGAGTGAGGAGCAGAACAGGCCTACTGACGAAGTACACTGCTGAGGGGAGCAGCAGACAGGTCAGCAGAGGTCTGCCACGCCATGTGGGTAGGTCCCTGGCCAGGGATTGAACTCATGCTGCAGTGGCTGTGGCTGGCTTCATAGTGCTGCACTTAACCCATTGGCACCAATAGGGAGGGCCCCAAAATGTAAGTGTTTTAATGGGTAATTATTCACCTGATCCTCAAGTTAAAAATGTCAAGCATGGTTATCTTGGTAGCTGTTGAAAGTGTGTTTGAGAAAACAACATCCATTCTTGAAAAGACAACTGAAGAATCTTCTGTTTGGAGGTAGATATCTACTTGAATCTAATTTTCACCTCCAGGGTGAAGCTCTGACGCATGTCCTCCCAAATTAAGAACACTTTGATATAATTTTCACTTAGAGTTACTTAGACAGTGTAGTTATATGAGACAAATGAGAGACATGAACAATAGGAAAAGTTGTTGAAGCTTGTATACATGTGAGTGTCTACGTCTGGAAAAACCCCAAGCAAAATAACCAGAAAACTTGTCCCACATAGGAGAAATGTGGAAAGAACAAAGGATAACATTAATGAACAGAAACCACTAGCTTTTGAACAGAAGACAGTTAAATTTAAGCCACAAGGGGAAAAGAAGATAGCAGTGAAAAAGATATTAGAAGGGCCTTAGTGGCACAAGGGGTTCAGTGTCAGCACTATGAAGCTCTCTGCAGTCACTGTAGCACAAGTTCGATCCTCCACCAGGGAGCTGACCCACATGGTGTGGCAGACCTCTCCTGTGCTGCTCGCTGCTCCCCTCAGCAGTGGATTTCACTCCATCTGCCTATTCTGCTCCCCACTCTGTCTCCTGTGAATTCTCTCATCCCCCACATCTCTGGCCTATACCCCAATTCTTGTATGTAAATAAATAAATCTTTTAAAAAAAGATATTAGAGGCCCCCCCCCCCCCCCCGGTGGCGCAGCATGTTAAAGCACAGCACTAAGAAGCTAAAACCACTTCAGCATGAGTTTGATCCCCAGCCCGGAGATGACCCACGAGATGACCCACATGGCGCGGCAGACCTCTCCTGACCCGCCCGCTGCTCCCCTCAGCAGTGTACTGTCGGTCTGTTCTGCTCCCCACTCTTTGTCTGGTGAAACCTCCCACTGCCCCTGCACCTCTGGCCTGTACCCCAGCTCTGTATGCATAATCTTAAAAAAAAAAAAAGATATTAGAAACAAGTTGAATAGAATCACATGAATCTCATGAGATGTGTAGGAACAACTGACAACATCCGAGGGACTCAGAAGACAACTGTGTGGAAAGCTTACCTGCATTTTAAATATCTTATGAGTTTAAAATCCAAGTTTATAAGTTCTACAGTGGATGCTTTTTCCATGTCACAGTGGGCACCTGAATTCTTGGACTATGGTGGGACGTTCTGACCTCTCCAACCCTTACCCACAGACAAAGGCCTTTATCCACCATGAGCTGCTGGCCTACCTGTATTCATCGGCAGACCAGGGCAGCCTCATGGAAGAATCTGCTGACCAGGCCCAGCGGCGTGATGACATGCTACGCATGTACCATGCCGTCAAGGAGGCACTCAACATCATCGGGGACATCAGCACCAGCACCGTTTCCACACCCGTGCCCCCGCCTGTTGACGACACTTGGCTCCAGAACACCAGCAGCCACAGCTCCCACAGGTTGCCATCTCCCCGTGTGTCCGTCACAGCACAACCCTTGGGTGGGTGGGATGTAGGGGCCTCCCCCTAGATGGCACAGCCACCACAGTGGGAACTGCTGTCCTGCCTAGGCTGAAGGGGAAGGAGAGAAGAGGGTTAAAGGCACCGGTCAGAGCTCTAGCACCCAGACAGATCCCAACTCCCTTTTTCTGCCACCTGCGTGGTGCCTCCCATTGGTTAAGCCTAAAGGAAACCAGAGAGAGCAAGAGGTTCCAGACCATAGGCACTGCTTCCTGGAGCAGAGAGCAGGACCAGAATAGCGAGTGGGGGGAAATCTGAAGGGACTAACCAGCATACTCTCCTACCAGAGCTGTGGGGTGGAAGGCCTGGGTAGGGCAATGCAGAGCCCTGGGAAGGGACACCTGAGCAGAGACAAGATGGGGTGGAGAGAAGGCCATCCAGAGAAATTACATAGAAAGCGCCGGTACCACCAAGACCGGGAAGAGGGCACACCATCCTGTTCTCAGGCCCTGGGAGAACCTTTTTGGGGGGCAGGTGCCAGGCCTTGTGGATGCATTTGGGCAGTGTCTTTAGCTATAGAGGAGGGCTTAGAGATGACAGAGAGAAGGTGGGGAGAGTGCCTGGCTCTGTGGGAAGTCAACAAAGCGGGAGCCCTTGGGAGCCAGGGACAGGTATCGAGGCAGTGACTCAGGGTGTGGGTGGTAGGAAGGCACAGCCCGTCACTAAGCAGGTCTGGGGAGGAGGCAGAGTGCTAACGTGCTTTGCCCCTCATGCAAGACTAGGTGCTCTTCTACTTGTCTGTGGGTGGTAACTGGTAGCAGCCTTTCAGAGGAAGCCAGACTAGCATAGCCAGGGCACCTGTCTGCCTTCTTCAATTCACATCCTTTTCCTCCACAGCCCAAATCCACAGCGCAGACCCATATCAAGCGTGCACCCCCCAGGCCGACCCCCAGCGGTGAGAGGCCCCACCCCAGGGCCCCCCCTGACTCCCATACCAGTGGGTGCAGCAGCCTCGTTCTCAGCGCCTCCCATCCCGTCCCGTCCTGTATCCCAGAACATATTTGCCAACGACCCCTTCTCAGCCCCTCCTCAAATTCCGTCTCGGCCTCCTCGGATTCCACCTGCCATCCCCCCAGGACTGCCCAGGTAAGCCACACCTCACTGCCTGCTGTCTAGAGCCACTAGCCTGTGCCATGGGGGTCTCTCCTCAAATCTAACAGCCCCTGGTGATTGTCCCTGCATCTGGCAGAGTGTAGGAGTCATAAGCATCCCCATTTGGCTGGTAGGGAAACAGGCCCAGAAAGGCAGAGTTGCTGCCAGAATCGTGGTAGAACTGGGGCGACCCAGGACTTGCAGATGTATCCTCTGCAGGAGTTAGTGACATACCTTGCAGCTTGGGACCTGTCACATGTCACAGCCCTCTGGTTTTGACCTCTGATCTTACTGAGGACCCATGTGTTCGTCATCATCGTCTACCCCAGATATGCTCGGCCTGCAGGGCCAGACTTTATTCCCGCTTCACCATGAGAGGCCCAAGGTCCAGGGCAGGCCAGAAATATGCCCAGCGCCACACGGCAAGCTAGTGACAGTGGGGGGACTGACACCTAGATTTGGCAAGCTCCTTCTTGATACCTTAGTAGTCTGAGAGCCTCCAGCATTGGGTCGCATCCTGGGGTGGGGGTGCCTGGGTCCTCATCTTGCCTGTTGTGGGCCTCACTTCAATCTCCCCTTCCCACCTGTCTTTATTCTCTTTGCAGCAGAAGACCCCCTGCTGCGCCCAGCCGGCCCACCATTATCCGCCCAGCCGAGCCGTCCCTGCTCGACTAGGCTGCAGGGGGCATGTTCTCGGGGGTCCTCGAGCACCTGAGGTGCAGGAGCTTCAGTGGTCTGGGTCCCTGTCACCCCTGGCCCTTCCGTCCCTCTGCTGGGACCAGGCTCCCTGTGGGCAGCCCCTGACTCTTCCCTAACCCTGACTGCTCCTCCCTGACATAGCACTGAGTAAAAGGATCCTGAATCCCAGGGTCGGGGTGCTGGGGTGTTGCACTTTGATGGGATGGCATCTGGGTAGCAGAGAAAGGAACTGCACCCTGGGCACTCTCTTGAATAAGGGTTCCAGGCTGAGCTGGGGGTACTCATCCAGGGGCTTTTCTGAACAGGAAGCCAAGCCTTTTGGAAACTGGGGCACCAAGGGCACCTGTATCCCCACCCCAATCCTTGCTGGGATGGAGGGAGTGTGTCCGCGCCGCAGCAGTGGGAGTTCCCGGTGCTGCCCAAGTTGTACATATTCTTTCCTTGTCATATTAACCAACCAGCCCAGCCTTGGCTGCTGGAGGTGCCTTTGCCAGGACTAGATCTCTCCACTGGCCAGCCTCACTCTGTCTTCCCTCAATCCTACCCACCCACCCTCTTCGTGGGTTCCCAGGAAGGCTTGGGCTCAGGGCTGAATGGCTGAGGAAGGTTGGAGGGCCTCTGGGTTCCCACCCATGGTGGATCCCAGACAGCCTCTCTCTGAGCACATCTTCTCGCTCCTTGCTCAGTTTGACCACTGTAAGTGCCTGCACTCTGTATCCTATTAATAAACTAAAATAAAGGGAAGAAGCTTCTGGTGGTTGCTGTGTGGGCCTTTTGTGTTGGCATTCAGGCTGAAGGATGTAGGCTGCAGACCACTGCCAATGATACCCCCAAGCCCTCCCACCAGGACTTTGCCTCACCTTACTCACATGGGCTCTTCTCTAGGAAGAAGGGGGAAAATCATGTCTTCCAGGACAGAACCATTTTTTCAAGGGAAGAGCTTTTTCTTAACTCCTCAGGAATTGGGGCAGATATTCCTGGCTCTCCACATAGAGGCCTCGAGTGGCCATGGGAATCATTAATGGGACAAGGGTTCCAGCCCTCCACCCCAGACCAGTGCCCAGCCCCCCTTTCCACCTCATAGTCCTAAGAACTGCTCCCAGGTCCCACTTCTTCTTGCCCTCTTGGGGGCCCAGGCCTTCTAGTCCAGCTAGGGACACAGTTAAAATTTGTTTTCTGATTTTTCTTTTGTGCCCAGGCGACCACGTCCATCGGCTCCCGCCCGACCTTTCTTCTGAGCTTCGTGGGAGATCCCTCCCTTCTGCCTGGCTGCCCCTTTTGGGGCAGGTCTGTCCTAGCTGGTATCCCTGAGCCCCAATCACCAGGCTTTATGATTTTCTGACCATAATTTATTGACTCAGGTACCCAGGCCAGACTGCCCTTTGTTCCATGAGGCTCCTTCACAGACTTGGGCTGGGCCATCCCTCAGCCCTGTCTGGGCCCCTGCAGAGACTGGGAGGGGCCAGAGGTTACAGGCCTTACTCCAAGAGTTCTGTCACCAGACCTCATAGCCTGCTTCCTATGGAGCTGAGGGGCCAGGGGCTCCTTGTCAATAAAGTGACTATCTTGGCAAAAATACTGCAACCATGTCACCTCCCCAGCCTAGATGCTGCTCCAAGAGGCCTCTGGTGGGTGACAGAGAGGAAAGCATGGGACCCCACAAGCAGCAAGCTCCCTTCCACCGTGACCTGGCTCAGAGGGCCCTGTGGGGAGCAGTCAGGGAAGTTTGCTTCCTGGGCCCCATCCGTTACTGAGCAGCACTGATGCAGGCTGGAAGACTCTTGACTAAGGCACATTTACGGTAGGGGCAGACACAGGGGCTAGAAAATGTAAGGGTTGCGTTCTAACATTACTATGGGCCTGTGCATGATTTCCAGGCAAATAAGTGCTGCTGCTGAGCCCAGCCTCCCTTTTCCCTCGTAGAGGCCCCAGGCCTGCAGTCAGCCTGTGTTCCTGCCCAGCACTGGGAGGGAGGAGTCTCAAGGAGGCCATAGCTCAGTCCTGGACTGCACAGTCTCTCTCCATAGGAAACTAAGTTGGGGAAGGGACCCCAAGTCTCACACACCCTACTGCCCTCCTTTCCCTATTTTCCTCTGATGCTGGGGCTACGTAGGCACCGGGCGCTTGTCCTGGAAGAATCGCTTGAGTGTGCAGACCTGCAGGATGGCCACGAGCACCAGCACAGCCACATTCACAGCTGACCAGAAGTTGACCCGCTCCAGGTTGCCCTCCTGCAGGTTTCGGTCACGTGCCTCAAAGGCCCGCAGCAATGTCAGCATCTGGATGCTACGCTCCAGCCGGGTCCTCATAGTCTCGATGGACTCCTATGGAGCAGAGGGAAGATCAGGGTCAGTCCTTGAGGGAGCAGATACTGATAAATCCAGCGAATATAGAGCAAGAATGTGTTTGGGAGTTGGGGGAACAGCTGAGAACGTAGACTCCAGCCAGGCTGCCTGAGTCTTAAGTCCTTATTACTCTGCCTCTCCATGGCTGTGTGACTGTGAGCAAGTTAATCAACATCTCTGGACCTGCGTTTCTTCCTCAGAACTGCTGTGAAAAAAGTATCCCTAAGTATGTGTAAAAAATGTGTTACTGTGGTTAATAAACAGCAACTAGTCAAGCCAGACTACCTGGTTCAAATATTGGCTCTGCCAATTGCTGGCCATGTGGCATTAGCAGTGCGTTACTTCGTCATTTTGTGCCTCAGTTTGCGTAACTAAGTGGAGGATAATTAGAGAACACAACCTACTTCTTGGGGTGGTTATGAAAAGTTTTTTTTTTTTTTTTTTTTAAGATTTATTTATTTGTTCATACAGAACTGGGGTACAGGCCAGAGGCTCAAGGGCGGCGAAGAGGCTTCACCCGAGTCAGAGAGGGGAGCAGAACAGGCAGATGGACGAAGTACACTGCTGAGGGGAGCAGCGGGCGGGTCAGGAGAGGTCTGCCACACCATGTGGTCACCTCCGGGGCAGGCAGGAATCGAACTCATGCGGAAGTGGCTTTAGCTTCTCAGTGCTGTGCTTTAACCCGCTGCGCCACCAAGGAGGGCCATGAAAATTTTTAATGAATTATTTAAGCCATTAAAACAAGGTTCACCTAAAAATGTGTTACTGTTTTAACTGTGAGCTGCTACTGTTAGTTGGGGGATACCACAATATAAGGGAGGCTGCTGGGTCAGTACAAGGAGTCCCCAGCTGTTCCTGGCACACCTTGATGTCCTCCATCTTGACATCCAACATCTCTTCGGGCTCCACTGCATCTGCCCAGCCCTCGACCTCTTCATCATCCTGTAGGCTGTCAAAGATGAGTTCGAAGAACACTAGCTTCTCAGAGATTGTGCTGAAGGAGTTGTCAAAGCACAGCTTGTAGTCCCCAGCTTCTGTGGGCTCCACCCTGGGCAGACAGACACATATGACCTGAGTAGCCAGCCTGCTGGACTTTGCAAAGTAGGGAGGGTGGTAACTCGAGGCCACTGGAGAGAGGCAGGGCTGTAACTGAACCCAAGCAAGCAACTAGAATTAACTCACGTGTGCACCCCATCTGCCTTGCGGGACTCGCTGACCAGCAGCACGCCCTGAGGACTCAACATCGTGAAATCCACGTCCAGTCCAGCACCTCCAATCACCTGGGGGGGGCAGGTAAGAATGGGTGGAGGGCTAAGGGTAGGCCTAGAGCACCTGCCACAGAAAGCCAGGTCTAGACCAACCCGCACCGACCCACACATCCCAAGGGCCTACCTGACCACACAGCCATACCCATATTCCAAGGCTGACCCCTCCCATCTCTCTGGCCACGCCCCTTGACCCCGTCGGGGCACATCCATGACTTAACGCATGCCCCCAAATGAAACGACAGCGCCTCGCCTGTATCACAACCCTAAGAAGCCTTCATTGGCGTCTCATGGCACATCCTGGCCACGCCCACCAATTCCCTTCACAGCGCCAACTTTGGCCACGCCCCCTCGCCGGGGTGCAGCCCTCGGAAAATCCCTCTTCCGCACCGCCCGCCCCCTCGCCTGCGCCACTCCACGCCACCTTCTGTTCCCACCCTCCCGAACACACGTGCCCTGTCTGCCCTCCCCTAGCCCCGCCCCGCTCCCCGCCAAAGCACGCCCCGCCTCAGCTAGGTGGCCACACCCCCTCTCTCAGGCTCGGCTCACTCCCCGGCCCGGCACCCTTTACCTGGTACTCGGTCTCCAGGCTTGCATTGGCGGGCGCGGACTGGTAGAAACACTGCTTCCTCCCCGCAGGCAGCAGAAACGTGAACTCGCCGTCCTGGATAGGTGCGGGCCCTGCCCCTCCTACCGGCACTGGCGGCAATAGCAGCCACAGGGCCAAGGCTAGGGCCGCACCGGCCGCCATCATCCGGGTCACCCTCGAGTTTGCTAACGGGTCGCGGCGCCTTTAAAAGCTAGCCCTGCCCACGGTGGTACTCAGTAGAGCTCATTGGCAGTCGCGGCTGCCGGTCGTCCAAACCCAGCGGACCCCGAGCGCCTAGCAGCCCAGGTGAATGCCTGATGCATCTGAAAACACGCAACATTTTAGGGATTTCCCTCTGAAAGACCGCCAGTTCTGCTTTCTTCTTTCAGTGGTGGCGAAGGGTGACGAAAACAAGTACCGTAATGTCCCATTTCTTTCAGAAAAAAGTTACGACAACTCAGGCAGAGGTTGCGCGCTGCTTGCAAGGCGCCTCCCTGCGGTTTTCCCAGAGTACGCCGCGCGCTGCGACCGTTAGGCAATCGCGTCTGTCCCGGGCGGGTCCGAAAATTGAGACTGGGCGTGGTTCTGCGCGCGGCTGGGGGCCGCCGGAGTGAGAGACCAGGCCGGGCGGGGTGGAATCCTTTCCTACTCGCGTGGGCCATTCCAGGGCTTCCCGGTGTGAGCTTGGCCCCAAATTCAACCACATTCCCTTTGCGTCTTAGAATCATCACTCGATCCGTTTCCTCGTCTTTAAATTGGGGGTGATGGAACTACCACTCCATAGGACGGTTGTGAAAATTAAGTGAAATTATTCCTAGCCCTTGCAGAGCGCTGAGCTTTCCTTAGATAGAGAGGCTGGTAGCCCCACCCTGCAACCTAGGAGGTCCCAACGCTGGCGGACAGCAGGTTAAGTGGTTGAAGTTGGCCTGGGGTAAGAAAAATGACAGTACAGGTGCTTGAAGAAGAGAATTGGGGACGGCAGAACCTGAGTGCCTACTTCAAGCCAGCTTGAGGGGTCACCCTGCTGGGCTCAGCTTCCTCGTCCCTAGCAGGAGGGTGACTTCCTGCCTGCCTCACTGGGCAGTTGTAAAGATAATATGAGATAATACTTGTTTATTAGTAGGTGCATCATACACCCCTGGAAATATGTTATAATTTCAAGTGTACGCCAGCCATTGGTCAGCCTGCCATGCAACCTCTCCCTTGATCTGTAGAGAATTTGGAAGCAACCTCGCTCTGGGAAGCAGACACATAAGCCAAAGACACTGGAGAAACAGCCTGCTTAGTGATTAAGTCTAAACATAAGAAAAAAATGTTTAGACGGAAAGTTTGAGTCTTTAAAGATAGGCCTGGGAGAAGTTGTCAAGTGGTGAAAATTACTATACAAACACAGCTGGTGGCTGTCAGCTATTTCCTGTATTTGAAGAACTTGGGGAAGTAACACCATTCTGTGAAGTTAAAGTTTATGGTTGACTTTGTTATTCCTTCCAAACATTTTTTTTTAAGATTTTTAAAATAATTTTTTTTAAAGATTTATTTATTCATACAGAATTGGGGTACAGGCCAGAGATGCGGAGGGTGAGAGGATTCACCAGAGACAGAGTGGGGAGCAGAACAGGAAGATCGACAAAGTACACCGCTGAGGGGAGCAGCAGGCGGGTCAGGAGAGGTCTGCCACGCCATGTGGTCTCCTCCGGGGCTCGCCGGGATCGAACTCATGCTGAAGTGGCTTTAGCTTCTTGGTGCTGTGCTTTAACCCGCTGCGCCACCAGGGAGGGCCCTAAAGTAATATTTTTATATAATTTTGTGCATTTTTCCATCTCATTTGTAATCCCTGTGGACTTCCCATCACCAGATCACCCGTGTGCCATCACCATAGTGCTGTGTATGCCTCCCCCCCCCATTTCTTATCCCTTTCTCCACCCCACCCCCGTAAAATGTCTGTGGTATATAGTTGTTCATTATTATTTTTTCCTGGTCCTTTATGCTCCTTCTATGAATGAGGCCATCCAGTATTTTTCTTTTTCTTTCTGGCTTATTCACTAAGCATGATCCCTTCCAGCTCCATCCATGCTGCTGCAAAAGGCATGGGTTTATCTTTTGTGATCACTGAGTAATATTCAATTGTGTATATGTACCACATCTTTTTAATCCAGTCATCTACTTTTGGTCATTTGGGTTGATTCCAGGTCTTTCCTATTGTAAATAAAGTAGCAATAAACATGGGGGTGCAGGTGTCTTTTTGAATCAGTGTCTTTTGGGTAGATACCTAAGAGTGGTATTGCTGGGTCATATGGAAGCTCCATTTTTAGCAGTTTGAGAAACCCCTGATCAGTTTTCCATAGTGGTTTGCATTCCCACCAGTTTTAAGATTTTTTTACTTATGCATACAAAAACTAAGATACAAGCTAGTGGTGTGGGGGTGGGAGAGGACTCATCAGAGACAAAGTGGGGAACAGAACAGACAGATCTACTGAAATACACTGCTGAGGGGAGCAGTGGGTGAAATAGGAGAGGTCTGCTGCACATGTGCATCACCTCCCTGGTTGCTGCAGATAGATAGCTTCATATGCTGTGCTTTAACCCCTTGCACCACCAGGGAGGGCCCTCTCAAACTTTTTCTATCATTCAGACTGTACTGTACCACAAGTGGACCAGGTAGGTAACCTAGGCTGCAGTGTTGGTGTGCTGAGACTCAACCCCTAGGCCCCAGATTCCCATTTCTTTAAGATTTATTTATTTGTGCATACAGAACTGGAGTACAGGCCAGAGGCTCAGGGCTGGTGAGAGGATTCACCAGAGACAGAGTGGGGAGCAGAACAGGCACATCCACGAATTACACAGCTGAGGAACAGCAGGCGGGTCAGGAGAGGTCTACAATGCCATGTGGGTCACCTCCCAGGCGGGAATGGAACTCATGCTGAAGTGGTTTCAGCTTCCCAGTGCTGTGCTTTTTCCTGCTGCGCCACCAGGGAGGGCCCAGATTCCCATTTCTTTTTTTTTT